TCTGCTCCTCCCACTAGCTGAAGGATGTTATTTTCCAAAGGGTTAGGGAAAGTGATTTCTACTCATTAACTTGCCTTCAGAGACCATCAACTGATTGTCTTTGATTATTATTATTATTTTTAATAATCAGTTTGTCTCCGATTATTAGCGAGCAATCAGCCTAACAATGAATGATCACACGGCACCCCTAAGATCATATCTATCTATAAGCTAGTTCAAAACACGTTATTCCACTCTCCCAGCAAGTATGACCAAGAAACAGAACTCAGAATATAACAGGGCAGAGAGCAGCTGCCTTTCTTCTTCACTGCTGAAGTCACCAAGGGCAGGAAGCAGATTTCACTTCTTTGTCAGTTTTGTCCCTCAGTAAACCCTTTTATTTCCTTCAGTATAAAGCAATGATTGTCATTCAGCCCAATGTGGGGAAAAGTCAAGCAATCAACTTTGAGCACATTGTTGCAGCTGCAGCCAAACCTACTCTCTGACGCTGGCAGCGAGAGACCAGACCCTCATTGACAGCAATTCCACAGCGTGGTGTGTGTGTGTGTGTGTACACCCATCCACCCACCAGCACCAGTGTAATAGAGAAACCCTCCTTCCACACACCCTATCCATCATGATGCTGGGCATTTTACAAATATATGATATAAGAGGCCATGGAGGTACATGCAGCTGCAATCCTATACAGCAGGGGAGAGGAAATGCCAACTCATGGGCCTAATTAGGTCTACCAGGTCTCCCCATTTGGTCCACCAGGTCATTTTGGCCAAGCCACAGTCACCTGTCTATCACCAGGTGCCATATATATGTATTATGTGCAGGCTTCTGAAACTGATCAGCACAGAATTAGCTGGTTGCCAGGGCTTCAAATGATTTTTGCAGGGACCCTCAGGGACAACCAGCTGATTGTCAAGACTTCAAAGGACCACACCACCTGACATCATTGTGATGGCAGGTGATTGGCATGTGGGTAGCCCCAGAAGGCTCTCAAATTTGGCTCACAGAGATAGTAGAGATAAGGGTCTGGCCTACAGCTGGATCCAGTTCCACACCCCTACCTTTTGAGTTGACCTGCGTGTTGGACTTCAGTACCCAGCAACCAACATGGCAATAGGGTTAGGAAGATGGGAGTTGTCGCCCAACAACATCTGGAGGGCCTCAGCTTCCCTGTCCTTGAGCTATAGTTAATCTAGCCAACAGCAATACTAAAGGATGGGGGAAGAAAGATCAATAGTGGCATGTTTCTGCTGCTCTTGGTCCATTCACTTCAGTGAAACAAAATCAGTAAAAGCCACAGCATTGGCCCTGAAAGCTGGCATGTTTCTTGGCACATGGCTTTCAGATGCTTATTGACAAAGGAGGAGGAAGAAAACTCTCCCAAATTGATTGCAATTAATGCAATTAGTGCTTTACAGTTTTTCCTGGCCTTGTCTTTTTGCCTTAGAGACCTTCATTCACTGAAACATTTACGTGCATTCTTAATTACTTTTAGTAAGCCAGCTGCAAATAGTAGATGCTACTCTTTGCTACTCTTCACACTCTCCTGGTCCAGGGCTGGTGGTTCCCTATCCCTGCTCTGCAGGAAAATAGAGTCATAGAATAGAATGTCATAGAATACCAATACCAATAGCTGGCCATAAGGACATGAAGTTGTATGAAGATTGCAGAATTATTATTATTATTGTCTCATCCCAGTATTGCAGCTAATTCATCATGTGACAAGGGCACAAGATGCCCTTGATTATCTGTTGAGGGACTAGGAGAATGACAGTTTTCTAAGGAGGTTCTTTCTCAGAATATCCACTGTTTCCACCTGTTCTTAACATCTGAAAAGTCCTTCAGTAGTGTAAGCATCATTGTGACTTAGAAGGCTGTGATTGAATCTCTTGTGCCTCAGCACTTCAAAGCAAAGTAGGTAACTAGTTTCTTCAACAACATAAGCCATCTTTTTTTAAAAAAAAGAATCTTTTGTCAAGCTGCAAACAAAACAAAATACTGTGGGGTGCCTGGACTCCCCTTCGAAATTCCTGTGCCCCCCCCCCCCCCGTTTCTAATTTATGGGTTCCACACACTGGATTTAGCATGTTAAAATACAAGCCAGGAGCTAGCCTGGTGATGGCCCACTAAAGATGAATCATTAGGTGACAAAGAGTGCTTTGCCAGAGGCCAAATGAGAGGGGCCCTTCCCTCAATTTAGAATTGGTGGAAATTTATAATTTCATTAATTTAGTCAATTTAGACATTTGTTAGAAAGACAAAAGCCCTTGAAGTGGAGTTTTAGAGCTGGAAGAAGAACAGTTGTTTTTAGTATTGCAATTTGGGGATTATGTGGGCTGGATGAAAAATAGCTGCTGTCAGAGGGCTGTGACTGATTTTTGCTGGCATCCAAGACTGCGGCCATGGAAGAAGCAAGAATCTCTTGGAGTGTAATGCTGTAAGCCCCTGCATTGTAGGCTCAGGATGCATATGTGTGTAAAGAAACCATAGATCATAAAGACACCACAGTCTCTGCTGTGCTTCATTGTCCAAAAAGAGACAGAGACCCGGGATAAATCCCTGGAACCCCTGGAATCTCGCACTGCTTAGAAAGGCTGCCATACGTCTGGATTTTCCCGGGGAATTTCCAAAAGGCGGTACCTTGTCCTGAATCCTGGCAAGTCAATTGAAAAATCACATGTTTTTGGTGTTTTTGTAAAAACAACAATTTCAGTCATTTCCTTAAAAGTAAAGCTCAACAACTTTCGGGGTGCCCTGGTTTTTACTTTTTGAAATATGGCAAACCTAGCTTAGAGATTGGGATGGCATTTATCACTATATAGGGCAATGATCTAGCAAGTCCCATTGATTTCATGCCATTTCAAATCATGGAAATTCCAAGTCCTAAACGAGGAATGGATTGTGAATGTAATGTAGAAAATATGTGTTTCTTTTTTCAAAGATAACACATTCTATTGTTAAAAGTGTTTGCTTCTGAACAGTTTGTCGCATTCAGAAAAAACTCCCAATTGTTTTGGAACTTCGTCCTGAGAGAAGGCTGAATGAACACTTTCCAATTCCACTTTTATTCACTTATCCATCAGCTGTCATGGTTGCTGCCTTCCTTCTCCAACTCCAGGAGACTAGAGTCATCTAATGGAAAAGATGGGCATTGCAAGCTGCATGTTTCCAATGAAGCACCAGTGTTCTGTATGAAACATTGCTTCCAATGTTGTGCCTTTTAGAGCTTTTTTTGTTGTTGCAAAAGACACTAAAAGCAGAGTTTGCGTTTCCTGCATCTCTAAAGTGAAAGCAAACCTATGTTGACTGCAATGTACACTGCATTTAAATATGGCATTCATCTGCTTTCTATTATTCACTAACAATATTGTGCAGCGGCATAGCGTGGTTGCTAAGAGACTGAACTACAAATGAGGAACCCCCAGTTAAGATCTTGCCTTTGCCATGAGCAAACTAGGTGGCCTTAGGGAAGCCACGATTCTCTGCATCTTACCCTTCCCCCAGTAATATGGGAATAAAAGCACTGGCTTCTTTTTATAGGGTTGCTATAAAGATTACAGTAAGATAATATATGTGAAGTAGCTCCCTGAACACTCTAAAAGTGCTATAAAATGTATATTTATTATTACTATTACTATTATTTAGTAGTAGCAATATTTGCAAACAATGTATTCCAGATTCAGAAGTGTTTTTAGTGTCAGTTATGAAAATCACCCCCTCAGGACCTCCAACCCCCCAGCATGTGAGTCAGGAATCATCTATGTCTGTGGCTGCATCTGAAATCATTGTTTTCCATTGAAAGCAACCTGTTTTGTAAATTGTGCTACAGACCACATATTAATTAGCTAATTCAGGGCACACCTCCCACATTTTACTCTTTTGCCCCTATACATGCAGATATAAGAAATTCAGGAGGAGAGTGAAAGCCAGCAGGAGATTCCTGTTCTCATACAAGGTCCCTCAGAGTACTCTCATTTTAAGTCTAAGGGTTACATTGGTGTCAAAGCTGCATTCTTGACAGTTGACAAGCAGCAATTAGAGTTACTCTCAAGCTGTATAAATGTCAACATAGAAATAAAACCATGCCTGCTACCTGAGAACGGGGTGGGGGAGATGAGGATATCAAAGAAAAATTATGGGTTGAATCCAATGCAGGTCCTATTCAGATAAGACCACCTGAAATGGACATGGCTAATTTAGTCTAACTTAGGTGGATACAACCCATAGTCATATACAAACACGAATGTCTCATTTTCTGTTTTCACAGTTCTGTAAACTTCATTACCGAAGTCAAGTAAGGAACACAGCTTCACAGACTGGGCTGTAGCCAACTAGATCAGGCTCAGAGTAGGCCCATTGAGGCTAATGGACAATGACTTAGTTGAAGACAACCCACTCTACTCATAGACAATGGATGGTGCTACTGAAGCCTGTGGCATGCAACGAGAGAGAGATTTCATCTCCACAGGCCATATTGAGCGAGCTGGATCAAACTTGCTACAAAAACCGGTGCTACCGCTGTGTTTACTGTCCTGACAGAGCCCCTGAGGATTTGCTCACCCAATGAGCCGAGGATAATAGCAGTTTTCAAGCTGGTTCTCAAAATTCTAGTGCCTCCTCAAGCCGCACAATATGAAGAGACTGAGCATGGGTGACACATTCTGAGGACTGACTGAAGCCTTTCTAGGATCTCTGTTCAGGAAAACCAGGGAGATGCGGCTGCAGCCCTGCTCCCTCTGTGAGCAGAACAGAGTGCAGAGCTGCCTCACATAAGAAGCAAGCATTGCTTCTTCTCCTCCCATCAGGACATCTCTGTGCTCTCTGTGTCACTGCCATGTCAAGCGCCCTGCCTCTAAGTGGGCCCATCCCCTAAACCAGGCGCAGGGAGCCTTTTCCAGTCCATGGGCAGCCTTCCAGAGGCCACATACCAGTGATAAGTGGAGGCCAGAGACAAAAGAGTGGGTAGAACAAAGGATGGGGATCTTACCTTTGCATAGCAGCAGAGCCAGTGTGGTGTAGTGGCTACAGTGCTGCACTAAGACCTTGCAGACCAGGGTTCAAATCCCTTCTTGGCCATGAAGCTCACTTGGTGACCTTGGGCCTGTCGCTGCCTCTCAGCTTAACCTACCTCACAGGGTTGTGAGGATGAAATGTGGAGTGGTAGAACTATGTATGCCACCTTGAACTCCTTGGAGAAAAGGTAATATAGCATACTTTCCAAGTGCCCTGGAAAAATGGGGGATCTTGCTGGCCATTTTGGTGCCCCGATCTCACGCTCTTGGGCTGCGCTCCTGCCTGAGAAAAGTGCTTTTTGGGGTGAGAGCAAGACATGGATCACATGACTCACCTGGGAATGCATCCCAGAAGGTACATGTCAGGGTTTGGGGTTGGAAAAAGTTGGATTATATGGGATAGAAATGCAGTAATAAATGAATAAACAAACAAATTTCAGTCATGCAGAAGTCAATTGATTCTATTGCAGAACCCTCATACACACCTCTCCAGCCTTCAACAAGGCAAGCAAGAGGCATTGTCACAGTTGCAAAAGCACTTGAAGAGGGTGCTGACCAGGGCCTGGGAGGGTTTTGGCCTGGGACAGAGGGTGTGGCCCAAGTAGGAGAAGGAGGCAAGTATTGTGGAGATGTTTTAGGATAACTAGAGAGGTTCAGAGGGCCACATTCAATCCCCAGGGCTGAGGATCAGGGTGGGCCCCAAGAGAAGGAAACTGCAGACTGTGCTTTCCTTCTCACTTTTACTACTATCTCCTTTCCCTCATCAAGCATAACTCCAGGTAGCAGGAGAAGGCAGCAGGGACCAGTGTGCACACAACATAAGAAGCTGTCAGGATGTTGTCAGAAGCTCCCGGCTAGTTGCCCAGGAAAGTATAAAGACAAGGAAAAGTTTCTTATCGTGCTTTTTATTTCAGTCTTTACACTGAGAGGCTATAGAACCCAGCCTCTTGTATAATGGCGTTGTCCTGAGTGAATCTCTATCCCCCGTCTCTCCCACTTCCTCATTCATCATTCTCATTGTCTCCTCTATGGGTGCTGCTACATGCCCTCTGTCTTTGAGTTCTTTGCTCTTCTACTTTTAAGGCTCGCCAGGTTCTGGGAGATGGAGGGTCTGGAATAACAGCATGTCAGCTGGGTGTTGTTCTGGCTCTCCCATGATTTCCCAGCTTTCTCCCTCATCTGCCTCTGAGCTGCTACCTCCCTCAAACCCCTGTTGTAAATCTATATTGTCTTCCTCTTCCTCCTCCCTGGAAGGGTCAGGATGGGGAGGCGGTCTCCACCGCTCCTCCTCTGCCAAGTCCCTGCCAGAAGCAGTGCCAAAGCACATGGGAAACAGGGAATTGAAGACCCTTTGTAATATATGTGCCAAAAACCATATGAGAAGGAAGGCTGGTAATTTTATGAACTTCAAACAGGGAAGAATCATATGCTGATCATTAATAGAAGTACAGTTTGGTCCAGTTTGGTCCATTTTAGAGTGAAACCCCAAAATTTAAATACATCTGCCCAATTCTATCTATGTATACTTAGGAGCAAGATCCGTTGTTATGGGTTATTCCCATGTAAACATACATAAGAGTGGTAGCCGATATATATTGCCATAGGTTGTGAGATGGTGGGATAGAAATAATTTTTAAAACCACAAGAATGGCATTAATGGGCTGATAACACCCATGCAACCTCTTGCTCTCCACTGAAGAATTCTGGAAATTTTGAAATAATCTAGATGCTCCCTCCTTACGCACAAGCATTGGTTGTGTCCCACTTCCGTATCAGCAAAGAAAGGAATTGGTTTCCTCTTGACCCTACCATGAAGCAGAGTGAGGCAGCTGCCTCAGGCAGCAGATGCTGAGGGACAGGGAGCAGACAGAGACCTGTGGGTGCCATGTGCCCTGGCTTGCACCCCCTAAGTCAGACTGCTCCCCTCAGGTGCAGTGGAGGGCACTATCCTCTCACTAGCATCCAAGTAAAATGGGCAGTTTAGTAGGCTTTTGGGAGAGGTGCTATCTCATCCTTCACCTTAAGAATAGAAATGTCTTGGGCCTGCCATGTTAATAGGTAATTTAATTAGAGAGGCCAGAGACAGCCACCACATAGGCCTAGTTGACTCAGGGGGAAATGAATCAATTTGCAGCCAGACAGAAATGCATCAGTCAAAGCAGAATATACCATATGAGTAATGAGCTCTTAAACACACGAATGGTGGGGAAAAACCCCTCACCACTAAGCAGAGCACCAAGGACTAGAGCCGCACGGAAGTTTTGCTAAGTTTGCCACCTTCCAACGCGCCTCAGGCTCTGGTACTTATGAGTCAAAGAGATTCCAGTGAAGGATTCTTCCCTAGGAGGTTGCCTTGGGCTGTGTGTAGATGACAGCTTTTCAGAGTCTTGGCAGTTGTACAGTAAGGTGGGCATTGCCAAAGGTGCTCATATTCATAGTTTGCATCCTACGATGGTCACTGGTCAAAACAGTTTGGCTGGTTTTCATAACCCACCAATGTGCATCTTGAAAAAGCTAGAATTCTATTATTCTCCCCCTCTCTGTTTTATCATCACAAGAACCCTGTGAAGTAGCTTAATTTGAGAGACAACAGGCCCAAGGTCACCTAGTGTGGTTTCTGGCTGAGGGGGGATTTGAACTCTGCTCTCCTAGGTTCTAGTCCAACATTCAAACCAGTACACCAAACAGGATATCAATACAATAGTCCTTTCCTCAGCAATTGGTATTCAGAGGCATGCTGTCTCTGATCCTGGAGGTAGCCTGCATCTGTCATGACTTGGGATAGTCAATGTTGGGATAGCCTTATCCTCCATCAGTTTGTCTATAGAGCCAGTGTTTGTCCGCAGACAGCTTCCGGGTCATGTGGCCAGCATGACTAAGCCACTTCTAACGAACCAGAGCAGCGAACTGAAATGCTGTTTACCTTCCTGCCGGAGCGGCACCTTTTTATCTACTTGCACTTTGACGTGCTTTCGAACTGCTAGGTGGGCAGGAGCTAGGACCGAACAATGGGAGCTCACCCCGTCCCGGGGATTCGAACTGCTGACCTTCTGATCAGCAAGCCCTAGGCTCTGTGGTTTAGACCTATAGAGCGAGATGAGCGTGCAACCCCAGAGTTGTCCGCGACTGGACCTAACGGTCAGGGGTACCTCTACCTTTACTTATGGTACTATAGGCGCCATGTCTAGGGAGCACTGGGTGCCAGGGCACCTACAACACAGGGCTCTGATGTGACTTTCGGTTTTTACCAGAAGGCGTGTTGGAGCCTCGACGCAACCTCCCAGCAGGAAGTTCCTGCTTCCAAGTACGGAAAGAACAACACATGAGAATTAAATTTTAAATGCAGCTCAGGTTGGTCGAGGCTCAGCCATCCTGGAAGTCACATGTACTAAACTCCTGAAGCCCACACAGGACCCTGTGTACAATTCAAGGGACAGTCAGATCTCTAATCTTAAAATTTATGTAACTGGGGTCTGATGCAGCAGGGGGGTGATATCAACCATCATTTTAACATGAAGTCTGTTGGGATTTATTTATTTATTTTCACCTTCATAATCTGTAACAGATTTATGTTTAATCCCAATACCAATCTGGTTTGTTCGCAACTCATTATGCCATGCAATGTAAATATAATTGCCATAATATTTTTATATGCATGCACCAAAGAAGCATGCTTAATATCAGCAAGTCATCCTATTCTGGTCAGTCAGAAACAAGTGGTCAAGTAAGAAATAAAGCATCTCTTCTTGTGGAGGGTTATCTTTTGAAGAGCTGGCTGTCACTGTTTATCTTCTGCACCTGGGCTTGGGACAAAGATGTATCTCAGGAAGCAGCCGAGTTGTCAGCGTCTAGATTCCAGTGGAACAAAGGGCTAGATTCATTAACAAAGGAAATGTTTCTCCCCCATAATGCTCCCCAGAGCCCCGATTCACTTTGGCCCAACAAAAAGCGAATTGTAATTGGATTTAGCAGCCTGCTGTGGACTCCAAACTAGATCAGCATTTCGTTAACTTGCGACGACAGCTCCTTGTATGAATCTGTCTTCCTAAGGATCAGAGGAAGAGGAGTGCCTGGAATGTTGGACAAGCGTGTTTGTTTACAACAGTTTCTGAGAAGGGAGTGAACATTTCAAGATAGTTGCTGTGGGTTTAGTCTGTAGCCAGTTGGCTTGTACTTAGGGCACCTTAGAGGCTAAAGGGTAGTGCAGGGAGCTGCCTGTTGGTTGACGGCCTGTTCTTTGGTTCCCACAGCACTGGGGTGAAGAATGGCTCATTTTATATGGCAACCCTCTCAAAGAGCTCTGAAGAGAGGTGTGCAAAGTAGCAGGTGCTGCTCATGGTATGTATTTCACCAGGAAGCAGCTGCCACAGGCACCAGAAAGAGTATTGCCCTCTGAGGCATTACAGTGGTACCTTGGTTTAAGAACAGCTTAGTTTATGAACAACTTGGATTAAGAACGCTGCAAACCCGGAAGTAGGTGTTTTGGTTTGTGAACTTTGCCTTGGAAGCAGAACATGTTCCGCTTCCTGTTGAGTGTAAATTAAGTCCCCCGCTGCTATGGGAAAGCACGCCTTGGTTTAAGAAAGCTTTTAAAAGCTTGGTTTAAGAACAGGCTTCCGGAACGGATTAAGTTTGTAAACCAAGGTACCACTGTACAGCTTTTCTGTTGGAGACCATGCCCTGCTGGTGTTTTTAAATTCTGCCTACCAACGATCCAGTCATGTGATCAAATTTGGCATGCTGGACAATGTGGGTCAGGTAGATCTGTGTAGGGCTTGTCGAATATCAAGGCAGCCCCAACATTCATTTTTTGCCATATGCTCATTTGGCCATTGGTACAGGATTTAGTAGTGAGAATGCCAGTGGAAGATAGGCATTCAGGTCATATTGCGCCTGTTCTGTGATAGTTACATGGGCTGCCTATTTTTCTCGAGGTCCATTCCAATTCAGAGTGCTGGCTTTGGACTTTAAATTTGGAGAGGTGGCTGCGTCATCTGCCCTTAGACCATGCCTTGGAACACACAGGGATTATTGCCTTAAGAACAGAGAAAAACAGGAAGGTTC